ATTTCTCTCTCTCTCTCTCTCTCTCTCTCTCTCTCTCTCTCTCATCTTTCTAAGGAAAACTAAAAATTATATTAAAGTAATATAATTAAAGTAATATATTAATATATATTAACATTAATTATATATACATATAAGATATATATTTAAGGTATATTATAAATATATATATAAATATATATATAAATATATATATTTATATATAAACGTAAAATTGAAGTAATATATTTTAAAATAAATTATTATACACACATACACTATATAATAATATTTTTAGGAGAACTGTTGATTGCTAGGGATACGCTGCGGACCACATATCAATGACCAGGTTAGATAATCATCAAGAAGATCGAGATGTTCCAATAACTAGCCTTTAAACCTTGTATGTGTGGTACGCCCTCGGAAGATTTTTATAGCTCGAAAACTATCTAGATATGTCATTATCATTCTTATAATTTTTATCTTTTATTTATCATCGCTTCATCCGCAGTGTTCAATTGAAAAAAATCACGGATGCATCTTTGATACTCAATGTAAACAGTAAAGTGAATCTTTCTTCTATCTTTTTTTTTTTTAATAATATCTATATTATAAATTATTTATGAAGTTACATATATGAGAAAAGACATTAGACGATTGAACGGGTAACTCGATAAAATTAACAGTTTTGTATTGTGTACGCGTGTATATAAATGAATGTATGTATATGTATGTATAAGGTATAGTCGCATTAATAAAATTTTGTAAAATAAAAATTATATAAAAGAACGCAAGCATAGCAACTTTTTTTAATAGCGATAAAAGGTTACATTAAAAAATCAAATGATAAGTCGATCGTGAAAAAGTATATCTCTTTCTGCCCCTTTTACTCTTTTGCCAAGTTATCTTTGAAGGATAACAATATATGAATTATAAGATGTCTTTTTGCTATAAATATTAAATCTCGAGTGCATATTTCCCTAATCATTTTCACTTTACACAATATATATTATTTTTCATTAGAGTAACAAAATGTGAACGTGTTTACAAAAACGTATCGATAATATTAAAACAAATGGCATCTTACATAATTGTGATAAGAATAAAAAGGGAATAATGCAAGCGTGATGGCATTTATTATCGATAAACAACTTATTTAACAGGGCATTGATGTACACGGGAAAGAATTTAATTTGTATATCTATGCTTTGTGTGTGTTCTTTAGTATACATATAAGTATATAATGTGTTTCTCATTTACGACTCGAAATTTGGACAAAGTTAGAAATGGGTCATTTTCGGAAGAAGGTTGATTCAGATTAAGAAATTTACAGAATCTCACTGTATTCTAGATAATCAAAGGTAGAGTGTTATCAGGATATTCTTAACTAGCTCAACATCTATAAATTGGACAATTCTCCTGCGCTGCTTCTCATTCACTTGATCACGCAATAGAATATGTGCATATGAAAAAAATTTTTTTATCTTGAAATATGCATTGAAATAAAAGCGAAGAGGCACACTCAGAATTAGAATATTATTTAATCCAGATGAATTAGGAATACGGAGATTTGTAATACGAAGCAAGCACATAATTATGAAATTCTGTGAATAACACGTCACTTTTGTATCGACGATGTATTTTATACCTACATATAATATAATTTCTGTATCTTTTATTATATAATTATATTATACACGAATATCTACGAGAAAAACGGAACAAAAATGACATTCACAGAATACAAAACGGATGTCGTTTCTCGGACCAAAATTAGTTCATAAACTTTTATAGTCCTCTGTCGAGAGTACTCTCTCTTATAATAATCTTAGAATAATCGCAAATCTATTTGTTACGTTGGAAACTGTACTATATAAAGTATCTGACCCATTTCTATCTTTATATATCTTTTTTTTTTAATCTAAAGGCCTGTTTTTTTTTTAGCTGAATTTCTTACACGATTCGTCTTTCCTCTTTTTTTTTTCTCTTCAACGTGGAGAGAAAAGGAAGAAAAATGAACTGTACAAGAACTTTAGCTAAAGAGAACAGACTTTAATTCTCGATAGATAATTTATTTGCATCGTTGTTAATGCGACAGACGGTTACGTCTCCTTCCGTACAAAGTGTTCACATGCTCGTAATAAATCTTTATATCACGGACACCCGTGTAAAAAAAAAGCGAGTGTCCGGTGAAAAATATGCCAGGAGCATATACGCGTCTTGTCCACGTGCATATGGATGGAAACGTTCTACGCAACGCACGTCCCGACATACGTTCAACCTCTTCGGTAATCTGTTTTACGCTTTCTTTTAACTAATTTTTATTTAGTATACAAGGATGAAGTAGGAGGCTGGGCACCGCCCACCGAATTATCACAGTCGTCTGGTGCCGCAGCACATACGTATACGTGGTTCAGCCTTACAACCTACCTCTTAATCTAGCGTTATTCTACGTTTATTTATTTCTCGGATGCAGTATAGTCCCGTACAAGGTGACTTGTCAAAGCAACGATTACTAGGAGCGATCATACTTTTTTTTTTACATATTAGATCGCGATTACATGTTATTGCTTTATTATAGCAGAGAATAGCACAGATCTCTTTAATGAATGCTTTCTCTACAAGCTAAGAGACAGCAATGCCTAGTAATATTTTATATCTTATTGTTTTTATTTTTTTAATCTTCATCAGTTGTAACTGATCATTGAACAAACTGATGTCGCGGTACGTGTACCGTACCGTGTACGGGAGCTATACTGTCAGCTGTCTGCAACTGATAATATCGTTTTACTCAAGTCATATCGCATATTCAAGTATTCCGCATGATTACGACGTTCTAATCAACGTTACGATTAGGCGATTGAGCGGAAAATCTTGCGTACAAAAATCAATACGTCTGAGAAACAATAAAAGTAGAAGAAATTATGATTTATAAGAACAGATCGAACAAGCTACTAATGGAAGCACTCTGTCAATTGGCTATATACATTGAACGCAAAAATTATAAGTACAAAGGAAATGATATTTGGCTACGTAAGGCAATCATGTCGACAGACTACATTATATGACACATTCTCCTCCTATAATCGAGTGACTAGTGTCAGCTTATCGTTAACTGCGGTATCCGTGAAAACAGTAACGGCAGAACTGATATAAATTAAGAATGAACGGGAATTTCACGTTCTGCAAATCTGTTGGTATAGCAAGATCATATTCCCTTATGGAATTGTCAACTTGGAAACAACTAATTTACGCTACATTATTTTACGTCGGATTTAACAAAGTAAAAATGGACTTAGCCATTCAAATCTCGATGGACGGATCGCGTGGAAATGATAGCGTCGGAGAAAGCATAAATATATCCGCGTATATATGCATCAGGAAGAATAGTATGTACACGAGAATGCATCGGCGAGAACAGCCAGTTCGCGAGTGAATATTAAAAGTTTTTTTTCATACTCGCATGGGAAGCTCCAAATAAATAAACTTTTGTCGAAGTAACGCGATAAAGAAAATTTCTGCTGGTAAAACGTAATGATCACATGTAGACAGCCAGTGCGTAAACATTAATATTCCAAAATGTCATATATCGTTGAATATATCCAATTCTTTTTTCAAGAAAAGTATTAGCTTTTCTTTAACATACTTGGTAATATTTGTTCTGCTTTGTCCGTTCCTCTCTTTCTCTGTCTTACTAACAGTTCCGCATGTAATATGTACAGTAGTATCATATAACACGTGCAGTACACGCTTAAGGGACGACACTTAGAGTTTAAAAATATAATCATCATATATTTAAAGTAGTATTATATCATCATTGTATTATGGTTGTGTTTGCTGCTGCTGTTGCTGTTATTACTATTATTATTATATAATTATAATTATAGTTATTATCATTATCGATAGCGTAATAATTATTATCATTATTAATTTTATTATTATTATTATCATGGAGGGACAGTGTTTCGCTATGCCACGACACTGCAGAGCTGAACAAAGACTAAACGCGGAAGTTACCACGCTCTTTAATGGCACGAAAAGTACAATTAATATTGCATGCTATACTAATTCTCCTCTAATTTGAAAATTAATTGATTATCCATGTTATTTTTTTACAAATATGCCACATAATATGCCTAATCGAATAGCTTATAACTTTTAATTAATGTTAGCAAAAGTCATTACCATTTTTCATATTATACTGTCCTTATTGGTTTTATACAAGTTATCAATTATAAAGTGGATTAATGAATTTCAATTTCAAAAAAGCTTACACGTTAACTGTAAACAAAAAATACGCGAATATTTTGTTGTGACACAAAAATAATAATTATTGTGGTAGGAGCAGTACAGGTATTAGTAGTAATAGGTAGTAGTAATAGTAGTAATAGTAATAGTAGTAGTAGTAGTAATAGTAGTAGTTTTAGTAGTAGGAGCGATAACAATAGGAGTGTTAACAATAATAATATTGACAATGATAGTAGAAATAGTAGTATAGTGATAGCGGTAATGGAAGGATAGCAATAGTAATAGTGATACTATTACTAGAAGTAGTATAGTAGTAATAATATATAGTAGGAGTAATAGTAATAATATTAATCATGGTAGTAGTATCTGGGTAACAATATTAATCGTAACAATAGCAGTAATAACATAATATTGTTGGCAAAGCTAGCAGAAAAAATTTCATTTTGTCTATTTTGTTTTATTATACGTCTAATGAAATATCAAAATTATATACGAAAAAAATCGACAATTAGCGTATCATATCGAAAATATACAAAAGAACGAATTTATACAGTTTCAGAGGATACGTGCTTAAAAATGTACATTGAAACAATGAAAAATATGAATGGCTATCATAAAAATATTTCTTTTCTCGGAAAATATTTGTTCGTCAAATCGTTATAATATAATCACGTTACACATACACTCACACACACATATATATATATATACATATATATATATATATATATATATATATATATAAAACGTAATTATATTTTAAACAATATATCTTTTACATACATTACATAAGATGCGTTTCATTCAGTGCTTATAACACTCACGAGCATTATTTGACCTTGTTTAACATTTGATAAACAACAAGGATAAAACAATTTTATAAGCATTGCGAGCATTAAGTGAAACGCATCCATAGGCGTCATAAATAAGACATCATATGGAGACTAAATCATCAGAAACATACGTTTGTTACAAGCAATGTAATTATAATTAACAAAAGATCCAATTGTGATTCCAAAAAAAAAACTCAGTTTATCTTCATCATTTGTGCGCAGTTTACTTAAAAATTTGTCATCGAAAAATAAATAACATTTCTCAAATAACACAATACAAACGTATGTATGTTCGTTTGAATTAGATGTACTTAAAAGTAAGGTGCTCTTTCTAGTACCTATTCAATCTCAGTTCTCCCAGTCCATTAAAACGTGTGGATAATATGTGAGCCGAGATTAAAAATCTAATCAGTTGTCATAAAAAAGCAGACGGTTGAATAGCTGATGAATGCTATCAAAGTATCGAATGATCAGAGAGCGTGATAACCTCTATCCACATATTCTTAACTTTCACAAGATTAATTACGTATTTGACAGTTAAAGCGATATCTATTCCCGAATATCTTAATACTGTAATGAGCAACTGGATTTGAAGGTACCGTAAAGAGGTTGACGTTTCGGTGATCGACAGAGGTCAGTGAAGATCATCCTCATCGCTATCGTTACCGTCTTTCGATCTAGCGGCACCTCCCTCACCGTCGCTAGAACCCGAATCACTCGCCGAATCATCGGACTGCCAGCTCGCTTGCTGCTGCTGAGCCGCTTGTTGCTGCACTGCATGTTTCGAAGTTTTATGACGTTTTCCTGCGCGCGACGTCGCGTCAGTGCCCGCGCCATCCAACATGGGTTGTAGGATTCGTCGACGGGCGTTGATGAACCAATTGTTCACTTGTAGTAACGTTAAATTTGTCTGGCTAGCAATCTGACGCTTCTCGTCTTCGGTTGGGTAAGGATGCTGCAACAGATACACGTTGGATTACGATTGAACAAAGCAACTGTAACTTTTTTGCAGATTATCAGTAAGTTACTTACTACTAAATGCTGAAAGAGCCACGTTCGCATGATGCTAGTTGCCTGTTTAGGTAAGACACCTCGTTTCTGACGTCCCTTTCTAGCGCTACCGTGATTATTTCTATGATTCCCAGCGTGATTCGAAGCTGTGTTGCTGGCACTCTCCTCCTCATCTTCGCTCGCCGCAGGGGAAGGAGAAGCTGCGACTGTAATGTCTAAACAAAATCGACATATTCTATTACATTTATGATCCACGCTTATAACGTAACGATACAATTTGAGAAATGTGCATTGAGAAATGACAACGAATCGTTGCTACTTTTCAACTCATATGCGTTAAAAAAAACATGTTATATTTCTATATAAAGATTATGCATTTCGTGCGTTTCCTCCATGTCCAGATCCATTCTTGAAATACCAACGTTTCGTGAACCTTGCAGTCCACTTCATCTGGACACGGAGGAAATCCGCGAAACGCATAATCTTTATATAGGAAAAGCATCCGTGGAAGCCTCAAGAATATGTTATATTTCTAACCGAAATACTTTTTATCATTAGTATTCCCGGCATCCGCGTATTCCACGTTTTTTCGTTCTTGCAACGCGACTAATCCCCAGTATCCAGCTTCTTCCAGATATATTCTGTCAGAAATCGTCTGCAGATACTCACTACTGTCATCTATAAACGAGATTTTAAGAGGTTCATCGTGCACAAAATACAACCACTGCTTCAGAAAAAAAAAAGACAGAGTTTATTGAAATCTTGTAAAAAAGTTCTCTGAAAAATCCTGAATTTTTCAGTTATTTTTTTCTAAAATTTCAGGTAAAATTAGAGAATTTAAAAAAATGAAATTTTGAAACAAATTAAAATATAAGTAACACAAATAAACTATATGTAATACTTTAGTAGAAGATGAAAATTCCACAAGACTATATCTTTTTCTAGAATTAGCGAATTACTGTCTTCTGCTGACAATGAATGTTGTCTACTGTCATACTGATGTTTTAAATAAAACTCGAGTCATACGAGAATGTACACGAATGTATATGTCATATTTATTGCTGATTGTCAACATTATCAAAAAATGATCAGAGAATGAAATTTAAAAAGAGACAGAATACAAAAGTAAAATTCCATAAAAATTCCCCAATTTTCAAGGATAAAAAAATATTTCCTAAAAATTCCAGATTTTTCCATTTTTTTTTTCAGATCATAAACACTCTCAATCAATCAAAATTTTTTACGAGAAAAAAATGAAATCTCGATCAATTAGCTGATTCTGATTTGCATTGATCAACACGACTCTCTATCGACAACGAACGATTGAAAGGAATCTATTTGGTGATGCAATGAGTGCATTCAATGAACTCAACAGTTTAGTCTCAGCTCTCGCTGCTATTGGTGTATTCTTCTAGATCTAAGCTCTAATTAGAATATACCAATAGCAACGAGCACTTACTTACTCAACCGTTGCTTTGCTGAATACACCCAAAGGTATTGCAACAGCTCTCACCTTGATTCAGACTCACCTTGGCCGAGATACATGTCGTTAACCGGGGCGCATGGATGCGCCCCGATTTGCGAGAGAGGCGTGCTTCCATGTATAGTGGACGGTGAGAGCGGATCGTCGTGGTCCTGGCTAGTGGATTTGCCCGAGCGCTGGACGGCGGAAGACGGTCGGACCGACGAAAGTGGATCGTGATTAACGCTCTCTTCCCGTGTGTGCGAATTCGCGCCATCGTTCTCCGCCACGGCGTCCCCACGGCTCACTCTGAATCCGTTAGCTCCCGACTCAACATCATTGCCTGTAGATGACAGCACCTGGCAAATATATGTCTCAACTAGCCGTCAGAGAGCAGGGATGGGAAATTCAGTAATATCTCAAGAGATGTACGCATACACTCGTACACGGTGATGTAATATATATATTATCGCTTTGATCGATTCAATGGCAATTTATAGATCGCAATACATAAATGCGGTAATGACAATAATGATATCGCGAGATTCTTCGCGTACATCCCTTCTACTACGGGAATATCTACGTTGGTAAGGGGGATAGTCCGGACAGACCGGGGAGCCTAGCTTCATCGTAGTATATCGGGCAAACGTCTAACCTGCAACGGACTGCTGCCGTTGCTTCCACTCGACGGACCCATGTCGTGCCCGTGGTGGCTGTAATCGCTGCGTAACAGATTTTCGCTCTGCATCTTGCCCTTCAGACACGTGATGTACCTGTTGCAGAAGTCCTTGCACAACTCTTGCACCTTCTCCAGCTCCAATAGGTGAATACGTAGCACCTGTATCGCTTTGATCATCTGCAAAAAAACATATCTCCATGGAAATGCGCTCAACCGATTAAACGCTTCAACCGATCGTCATTTCTCGTCGCTTCTCTCATTCATTTGTTCCCGATATTGACTTTGCACGCGTCGGAGTCGCATGGAAAAACGAAGGAAGGACGAGCGAAAAGTTTATAAAAAGAAGAAATCTAATAAGTAAAGAAGAATCTAATAGATATGCTATGCTCCTATTTTACTGGGAATGCAATCATCATGCTTAATAGCGTTAGAGATTTTGAACAAAAGCAGCAGCGACGAACAAAGTTCTTCCAAAGAATTTATTTGTTTCTAAATCCAATAACTGTTTTTTACGCTCTTTTTCCAACGTCGTATTGCACTGTAACTGCCTCACCTCGAGAGCTGCAGTAGTCGCAGTGGCAATATGGTTACCATTTATGGCATTTATGATGTCATTGATATTGGAACTAGATACTATCGCAGCACACTGCATGATAATAATGGAACAATTTTTTAGTATTACTAACACTGGCAGTATATATAGAAACACAGCTAATGACATGCCTAAAATCTAGGCCGATGATGTATGTACTAAAACTTTGTGTCCACAATGCTAAAAATCCGAGATTTTGAACGGAGAAAAAATTGACCAATCACATTGATTAATTAGCCAAGTTGTTCATATGTGATCTTTCAATTCTTTCTCCATCCGAAATTTCAGAACGAATTTTTAACATGGACACAAAGCTTCAGATCAAGCATTTGGAATTCTACATAAGAGATTGAGGATTGCGAATTGGAAACTAGAATTCAATCAATCAGAATGAAATGGATTAAAATTAAAATTATTTGATTGATAGAGAATTCAAATCTTTAATTAACAATCCTCAATTTCTAATTCTAATATGGATTCATCTGCTAACAGAATAAAATGCCACATTGACTACAGAAACTGAACACACGCTATTTCATAATTTAAAATTATTCTCTTTAAGTTTATGAAATTTTACTCCGTTTCTGCCAACAGTTTATTAGATTATGTCATAAACATGAGTTTAATGTAGACGATACCGAATCTATTGAAATATCTCAGCAAATCTATTGTACTGCAAGCAATTTATTTACTGGGATGTATGTCATCGAGAGATTCGTCTTAATAAAAAGTATGTCTTACCAAACCGTCAATCTCGGGGTCATTGATCAGGAAAGGCTTTCGGTCTCTTTCTTGGTGCTGGACAAAAGCCTGTATGTCCATGTTGAAGCTTTCGGACGTGGAGTTGTCCGAGCTCTGGGTCGCTTGTTCGCATCTTTCGAAGAGTAACGCCAGCAGCGGGAAGAGTGGATGTTTATAAACGGCTCTCTTGTCGGCTTCGAACTGGGCCTGATCCTGATGAGTCGTGTAATCGGCGACCCCACTCGCAGGGTCCTGATCGTATCCGGGGGTCACCATCGCTAGCGCAACGGCGGTATTACCCTCTTGCATCCTGCCATAAACACATTAACGTATTCGTCATTCGATTCTCGAATTATCTTTTTAATCACAATTTATAATATTATTAATACATTTTAGCTTTTTGCTCCAAATTCTAAATTGTGATGTTAATTTATTTTATTAACTATAAACTTTACACTGGTTCTACAATAAGTCGGTAATCTGTAGTCGGTACTGATCGAAATCGATGAATAAAACTATCGATTCATTGTGGAACCAGCATTACAGTTGAAATCTGACTAGCTCACTTAGTCTCAAAACACATAGATATAGTAAGTCTTAAACATTAAGAAATTGATCAATCATAATCGATTATTCTCCTTACATTCGACTGTGATAGATCATTTCTCACGGTTTAAGACTTAAAACTTAAGTTTTTTGCGTCTAAAAATTTCATTGTAGACGCCGTTTAAAATCTCCTTGTAGACGTCGCTTCATAAATTGAAAGTTAAAGTGATTCTTACCTATCATTCCCCCTTGGCAATTCCCATTCTCATCTGGATTCCCCGAGACTCCGTTTCCTTTACGCCTAAGGTTCAATTACTCGTTCAAGGTGCTCGTTAAATCCGTTCGATTGGAGGATTCTTTAAGAAGAAACAAAATCGCAATGAGAATTCGTTTACATCAGCTGCTTTCTTCTTACGAGACACAAATCGACATAAATTAACACACTTGGACACAATTAAATGGAACGTCACATGTAATGTGTGCGAATTGTTAATACCTTACCTCACAAAATTACAATTAGTTTAAAACTTCTCAAACAGTATTTTCTAATATTACAAATGTATGTATGTTATATTGCGGATGTATTTTAATATCGGTCAAAATCACATTTGAACACATTCCGACTTTCGACAGAGTCGAAAAGTGTCGACTGAGTTTGAACAAAATTGTAAATGAAAAGCGACATGTATGTTGATTTGCGTCAAAAGTGTCGACTGTGTTTCTTAAGACTACAAATCATCCGAGTGCCCCCGTGTATATCATCTTATCCTTGTTTAATATTGGGTGAATAACAAGGATATACGAAGGCACTCGGATGTTTCCGAATGCAGCTTAAAAGGAAAGCAATCATCATCTCGCCAGGACGTTAATTCCTACTTACGATCGCTCCGCGAAATTCGAAAGGGATAAAAAGAGGAAAAAAGGATATTCACGAGGAAGTGAAAAATCGATAAAGAGAGACGACAAAAACAAGAAAAAGAGAAACGAAGAAAAACGTCCCGCCGCGCTACGCCGCGTGAACAATCGAACGATGCGGCACCGCATTTAAATGTCATCATTAGACAGCATTGGCGCCATCGGCGCCCGGGGCTCCCATCGATTTCGGAACGGCGTATCTTCCGCGACGCGGGGTTAAATAGCGCCACTAGAAGAAAGAAAAAAAGAAAGATAATAAAGATAATCCGGAACAACGCACGCGTGTAATATCCTAACGGGTGTCCCAGGCCAGTTCCCTCGAGAACTGGCAGCAAGTGGCAAAGTACAAAGAGCAAAATCGCGCACGAGATCGTCTTACGTAAAGGTGTGAGTGCTTTTTTTTTCCTCTTGTTTTTTTTTTCTCCAAGCGAGAACGTCATACCTCAATATATGTCGATTCAAATCTACTCTCATTGGCGATTAATTTAACGCTGTGTCATTAATAATAGAGAAAAGTTGTTGATGTAAATACATATATGATGATTAGAATTGTAGGACTCTTGGGAAATTCCGAGAAGTGATTATCGAAGAGTTGAATGAAACAGTTAAGTGAGCGTTCGTTGCTATTAGTGTATTCTTTTCAATCTGAACGTTTGATTGGATGATCTAGAAGGATACACCAATAACAACGCTTACTGAACTGTTGAGTCCATTGAATGCACCCAGAATAGTGTGTTTAGCAGTGGAAACTCAGTGAGTGCTCAGTAATTCTTCAATATGATTGGTTCTTATAATTAGATCCAGCGAAGAACTAAAAGCAAGAACCAATTATATTAAAGAATGACTCAGCGCTTACTGATGAGTTTTCTCTACTGAATGCAGCCAATGGACGTGGCTGCGTCCGATATATGCTGGTTGCGTTTAGCAGAAAAAGCAGCTTTGCAATTGTAAGATTCTTTATTGTTGGTCTTGCTCTTAGTTTCTCACTGAATCTAAATGTACAGACTTTTTATAATAAATCATCAGTTTATAGGTCCTTGCTTAAAGGAACTGTAATGCTGATTCTACAATGAATCTGTAGTCCAAAGTCTTAGTCTCAATCAATGAAGTTGATCAATCAACGTCGGTTGTATAAGTGACTATTGATCAACTTCACTGATAAGACTTAAAACTACTAATTATTAACTCATTGTAGAATCAATATTAATTTTAATCGGTGAAGTTGACCGATCAGTGTTAGTCGTACAAGTTGGCTCAACTTCACCGATAAGACTTAGGACAACCGTCTCATTGTAGAATCAACATAAAGCCATAAAGAGAAATAACGTAAGTTGATTCCTATTTCTAAACTGTTCTCGCGCAGTCTTTAAACTTGAATCGTTAGATGTAAGCGAATTGAGAAAAACCTAATGTTTACAGCCTAAAAGCAAGATTGTAGATGTAGACTTCAGCTAAAAACACAGAAAAAACATAAGGCAATGAAACTCAAGCAAGTAGCGAATCAATCAATCACACAGTGGAGAATGTAAAATAGTTCTCTGTTATAATCGGCCGATTCGCTTACTGTATTCCTAACTTCACCTAAGCTTTAATGGGCTTTCTACAATAAGCCATTAGTCATAAATCAGAAGTCAGAAGCCAAAAATGGACGACTGTGATTGGTCAATTTCCAGCTTCCAACTTCTGATTTACGACTAATTACCTATTGTAGAATGGCCATAAGTCTTAAGGTCATGGCACATAAACAATTTAAGCAGTAAGCAGTAAAGAAATTAACGTGTTGGATTGGCTACTGTTTACGTTATGACCTTACAGCCTTTACTATAATTGGCCAATTCGCTTACTTCTTACGTTTACTTCTTTGATTGTTTAAGTTTTTTGTGTGCCATGTGGCCTTTAAGTCCTAAGAAACTCACCAATCATAAACTACGTTTACACGGTCACCCTTAATCGGGTTTAATAACATCCATAGTTAGAAACTAGCCAATAACAATCATTCCATTCTTCAAAGGAATTGCTATAATTAGTCATAGTTCATAAGCTACAGATATTATTAAATCCGAATAAGATATCGTGTAAATGTAGTCATAGTCGATTATTCTCCTCACGTTCGATTATGATCGGTCTTTTTTTTTTCGGTAAATGTTCATTTTAATCATATTAAGGAATTCTACAATAATCGTAAAACGTTTTCTGCAGTTATCCTCTCGTCGCTGAGACCCGTCGAATCGCGCGTTGGAAGAGCAAGCGAACGTTCCCTCGGCACGTGGGTTCGCCGCTTCAAAAACAGCAGGGGACCGGCCACTTGTTTACTGCCTGTCAATCATCGGGTTGAGCCTAACCTGCGCGACTCACTCGCTCCCGCACGGCGCTGCGCAGAAAAGCGGCCACTGTTAAAACACGCCCTTCAAATGTTACACTTTACACGACAGGCGGACCGCGCCTCCTCCTCCCCCTCCCCCTCCTCCTCCTCCCTACACCCTTCCTCCTAAACGCGCGCTGCTTTTCATTGCCGGTTTGCTTATTTGATAAAATCGAAAGGTGATCGCCACCGCGCACCACCGGAAGTGTTAAAGATACATGGTCAAACATCGTGGTGTTTCTAAAAAAAAAAAAACAAAAAAAAGATCGTCGAAACTAAAGACCGCATATAAGAGTCTGGTCGCGAGCAGTTTTGTCAAAACAAGAGTAAAGCCTAAAGCCTTATGGATTTTTTACAATTAGTTATGTAAGTTTTAAGTCTAAAGCAATAATGACTAATCGCAATCGAGAATGAGAAGAATAATCAACTATGATTAATTTTTCATAGCTTAAAGTCTAAGAATCGTGGACAACGCATACAAAAAACTTAAGTAGTAAAATGTAAACAGTAAGGGGCCTTACCCCAGATCTACAATAGATTTTAAGTCTTAAGTCATAAGAAATGGACAAACAATTATTATCACAATCAATTATTCTCTTTGCATTCGATTATAATTGATTAATTTTTTACTGCTTAAGGCTTAAAACACTTATTGTAGATCCGGACTTAACAGAAAGCTGACGTATTATCTTAAGACAATATAATCTTAAGTCTTAAGATTATAAGGACTTACTTATGGGCCTTCTACAATAAGCCATTAGTCATAAATTAGAAGTCAGAAGTTAAAAATTGATGACTGTGATTAGTCAATTTTTAGCTTCATACTTCTGATTTATGATTAACTGCTTATTGTAGAAGGCCCATTATGTCTTTAATAAGGATCTGAGCACAAGAATTATCTTATGATTTATGTTTTAAAGGCCTTGTATTTATATTTTTAAGACATGAGACAGTTCTTGTGTTACTAAAGGCAGAGACTTATGGCCATTCTACAATAATTGTCAACCATTAGTCATAAATCAGAAGTTAGAAGTTGGAAATTGACGACTGTGATTGGTCAATTTCCAGCTACTAACTTCTGATTTATAATTAATGGCTTATTGTAGAATGTGTTAAGTTATAAAACACTGTCTTAAGACTATGAATTAACCTTTCTGCTACAGCTCTAAGCGAAAATTGGCCAATCACAATAGAGATCGTAAGGCCATAGCGTAAGCAAATAGCAAATCCAACATGTTGTCTAGGTTCACAATCTTATTTTAGGAAGCCCTAAGCTGTAAGAAATTGATCAATGACAATCGATTATTTTTCTCATATTCAACTGTGATTGATTCAATTTCTTATGGCTTTACAGCTTACAGTCTCTTAAAGCTTACAGTCTCTTAAAGCTTACAGCTTCTTAAAGCAAGGTTGTGGATCTAGATGTTGATTTCTTTACTGCTTCTTTACTGCTAGGTCTTACTGCTTAAGTGTTTTTGCACCATGGCATCAAGAGTTAAGCTTAGATAATAGTTTATTGTAGAAAGCCTATTAAACATAATAAAAAGCACAGATAATAAGAACAAGAAATAAAAGTACCAACACATACAACACGTATAGTAAGCCTTAAGCTGTAAGAAACCAATCATAGTTGATTATTCTCTTCATATTTGACTGTAATTGGCTAATCTTAATGGCTTAAAAACTAAGAGATTTCAATTTATCAGAAACTGTTCTGATAAATTTCTGAAAGGTTGAAATCTATTATTCCCTGTTCCATTGCCGAAACACAATAGGTATGAGTTTTAAGTCATCAGAAATCAATCAATCATCGATTTTCTTTTCACATTTGATTGATTGGCCTTAGAATTATTGCAGACAAAATTCCAGTAACAGTAAGCGTAAGGCGTAACTTAAGCCAATGAGTAATCTAACGAAAATAGAAATAATAGTAAACTTATTTATAAGGAAAATTTATCTTATGGATAAGTTTACTGCTATTTTATTTCCATTAGATTACGTAGATCTAAAGCAATATCCTGATTGGCTCATTGGCTTAAGTTTACGTCTTATGATTACTATTACAGAAATTTTATCTGTGGTAGCCCTTATGGCTTAAAGCCCTTATGGCTTTTACTACTCGTATTGTGATTCGGGATTTATTCATGTTTGGGAAAAAAACGCGATATTATCTTACTCATTTACTGAAGTTGACAAAAAGGATGACTAATCAAAAGTTTGTTCATCTTACGACCAGATGAAATGTCATCAGCTGATCATCAGATCCTAATATCCCATCTCGTTTCCGAACTTTAAATAAAATTCGTCTCGTAGATATGAACGCTTGTTTACGTCGTGCGTTTTTTTTCTCCCACCCAAGAAAGCAGCGCGCTTTCGCGGAGGACCCGCGAGACGGCCCACCTTTTTCGCACAAAAATGTCGGACACGAGCGATTCGAAGGGTAATTATCGACTCCGATTAAACGTTTGCCGAAAGATTAAAAAATGATTCTTATTCCTTCGGCTCTTGTGACGCGATATGAAATCCAAAAAGACGTAAAATCCATGTCACACACATTGGAAATTGAGGATTGTTGAGTTACAGATAAAATTCAATCAATCAATACGGGGAACGGATTAAAATTGAAGTTATCTGACAAGTCGAATTCTAATTTTAATTCGTAATTCTCAGTTTCCAATACGTTGCGTGACACGGGTTGTGTTTAACTCGTACGCGAGATGATTAAGAAACATGCCGATATTAGTGACAACGCTAACTTGAAACGATCGAGAGATCGAAAGGCGACGATGATGACGACGATGTCACTCGTCCACGAGAGCGTGACCCTCGCGACTCGGTTCACCGTTGCGATCGCGCGCGCAAGCCGAGTCGACCTTGTCCCAGCGAGAAAAATGGGCGTTCACGCAGCGCATGTACGATCGTCGCACTGAAAACGAACTCTGGCCGAACCTAACCTCGCGGTAGCGGCAGCTGCTGAGCTGCCGTCGTTGTCGCGTGGAAACACCGAGCGATATCCGACAACTGTTCCAACAGTTGCCGATCGCGAAAACGCATGGAATCGGTTCGTACCTACGCTACGCAGCTCTTACCGTGATTTAACAGTAGGGTCGATCCACCTAAAAGCGGTACGCTACACCACCACCGTTGCGCGATACGTCTCGTTCGTTTTGTTTTCACGCAATTACGCAGCGCGACGAAGGGTGAGAGCCCCGTGTTTCGTCCGTGTACAATGTGCACGTGCCGGAGGGGGAAGGACGCGCACACTTTTGATATTCGTTCGTTCTGGAAAGAAACCGCCACTCACCGCCACTCGCCAATACTCAATCAGAGCCGGTTTTACGCGTTAGCACCGGTGGCTCACCACGTTCACGAGCATTCACGAGTACCGTTCGTCGCACGTTCACGTAGATGATAAGTTCCGGTAGCCGGACATTTTTTCCGCACAAACGCGACCATCCACCCCGTTTACTCCTTCCACTGGTCTGTCTTTTGTGACGTCACCGATTCAATACTTTTCGCGAAGGTTTCTCGCCATGATGGCGCCGTTGAAGTACGTCATTCATCCGACAGATGACGCCACGCGAGCTGTTTCTGTAAGGAACTCCGCACAATAAAAGGAACAGAGGAACAGAGAACAGAATAATGCTCGTATTCATAGTCAGACCTTGTACTTAAGGCTTTCTTAAATTTATCTTTAGATGCTCAGCAGCCAATGAAATAATTTGTAGAGTATCTAAAGATAAATTTAAGGAAGCTTTAAATATAAGGCTTGACTATAAATACGAGTATAAGAATTTCCTATCAGAAACCATGTATTATGGAATATACAGTTTCTGATAGGTTGAAATTCTTATTCTCTGTTCTCTGTTCCTTTTATTATGCGGAACCCCTAACGGTTCGAATTGGACAAAATATAAAGGTGCATTCTACTTAAGGGTATTCTACAATAAGCCATGAATCATAAATCAGAAGTTAGAAGTTGGAAATTGACGACTGTAATTGATCAATTTCCAGCTTTTAACTTCTGATTTATGATTAATGGCTTATTGTAGAATGCGAGGATCACAGATTCTTACATAACGCATAATGTATAAGTATGTCAATCAGAATCTTTTTTTTCTCCCATTTTGCAAAAAAAAAAGAATTTCGATTAGTTAATTCCTTTATGCACTATACATTATGCGTTTTGCAAGAGTCTATGCTGCGACTATTAAACGGAGAGCACAGATTTTTGTATAACGCATAAAACATGAAGCATAAAAAAATAAACCAATCAGAGTTCTTTATTTCATGGAAAGGAAGGAAACGAAGGACTTTGATTAGTACATTTTCTTATGCATTATGTTATGCGTTATATAAGAGTCTGTGTTCTTCGCTTTATCTACACAACTTGCATAGCCGTATTAACGTATGTATAAAAAAAATTATCCAATCAAATTTCTCCTATAAAGACGCACGTAAAATGTGATTGGATAATTTGCTTTATGCATATGTTTATGCGGCTATGCAAATTTATGTGAAATGCCCTTAAGTGGAAAGATTATATTCCAAAAAAAGTGTATATTCCAGTGTATCTGATTTCTGATAGGTTGAAATCGTGTTATTCTTATCGCTATCGCTATTCCTTCACATTGTTTTTAAGGTTGAACGCAGCCAAAGGTAGGCTTTTTGGCCTACAATGGAGGAAATATTAGGAATAAGAATAAATATTAAAATTTTAACCTATCAGAAATTGGGTATGCTGGTGTAACAGATATCTGGTAGGTTGAAATCTTAATATTTATTCTTAATATTTCCTCCATTGTGCGCAGGGCCTTAGCACCACTCGCGACCAATGCAATAACAAGCTCTAAAAGGATCGACAGATCGAACTCTAAAATATATTTTTTCTGTTTACTTGATCTAGGGACAGTCCGTTCTTATTTCCATTTTTTATGGCTTAAGGCTTAAAAATCTATTGTAAATCCGGGATAAAGCCTTGTGTCCACAATGCTAGAAATCGATCCGAGACCTCAGATAAAGAAAGAATTGACCAATCGCAATGATCATGTGATCAAATTGTTCAAATGTGATTTGTTAATTTTTTTCTCTGACCGAGATCTCGGACCGATTTCTAACATCGTGAAGCTTCTAACATTAGGCTTTAGAGTTAAGATCAAAGCATAAATTAAGTATTAGGGCCATTTTACGAAACACCGATTAACTTAATTAGCCGATTAGTCCATTGAAATTGGCCAATCGCACCTGCCGTCAAACGAAATGATAAATGTGATTGACCAACTCCAATGGACTAATCAGCCGATTAAGCCAATCGGTGTTTCGTAAAGTGACCCTTAAATAATGTCTTAAAACGCTAAAACTCGCAGTACTTTTGCATAGCGCATAGTGCATAGTGCATAAGGATATATTCATACAAACACTTGCATAAACATATGCATAAAGAAAATGATCTAATTACATTTTTCTTACAATGTCACATGTAAATTGTGATTGGATAATTTTCTTTATGCATACGTTTATGCGACTATGCAAGTTTGTGTGGATATATCCTAAGAGAATCAACCAATCAACATTCTTTCTTTGTATGGAATGGAAGGAAAGAAAATATTCTGATTAGTTGATTCGTTTTTTATGCTGCATTATACAAAAGTCTATGCTACGACCTTAAGGTTTAAAAACCTATTATAGAATCGGACTTATTAACCAACGAAACAAAGACAATACTTATCACGTGACCTATCTTTTGTCCGACGTAATAGCCAATCAATTTATCGCTTTTTACGATCTTTCGTTAGAACTAATTATGATTCACAAGAATAAAATGGCAAAGAATTTTTTGTCAAAAATTTTTTTCCAATAATAATGGCTGTTTTTTCTTTATTATAACAAATATGTTTAATAACAACAATTGTTTTATATCAATATATATATATATATATATATATATATATATTCTTATTTATCAATTAATATATACGATACAAAATCGCTGATTTGAATTACGTACGATAAGCATAAGGTCTTGCGCACAATAGAGTAAATATTAGGAATAGGAATAAATATTAAGATTTCAACCTATCAGAAACCGTGTATCCTGCGCACAATAGAAGGAATAAGGAATTAGGAATAAAGAATAAATGATTTCAACCTATCTGAATCTGTATATCAATATCTGTGTATTCCGATGTATCTGATTTCTGATAGGTTAGAATCATTTATTCTGCCTAACTGATATCCGATAAGTTGAAATCTTAATATTTATTCCTAATATTTGTTCTATTGTGCCTTAGTATACGTATACAATTTATTGGAGGAACTTTTAAACATTTCTTTTTTAATATATAGGTATATATATTAAACTTGTTCAAATCAATTTGAAGAGCTTTATTATAATTTTCCGAAATTCTTTTATAACTGCTTTTTTGGTTTTTCTCAGTATTTTTATTGACTGCATGTAATTTTTTAAGCAAAATACAAAAAAATTATCCTGTGATCCGAATAACATGAGATACTTTATTTATGAAGTAAATCACACATTGTGAAAACTAAAGCATATATTGATCGCTATATAACTGTTTAAGTATCCATACAAATTGAATCAACAGATTTCTGCTATATTTATTATTGTTATAGAAGCAATCCATTGTGGATGACACAATATTTGTACTGCACAATTTACCCTGGTGAAAATTTTTCTCAGAATTTTTCATATAATTTTTTAGAATTTTTTTATAATTTTTCAGAATTTCTCTAAAATTTTATAACTTTCTCACATTTTTTATACGAATTGGAACATTTCTCAGAAAATCTACATCTTTTCTCAGAATTTTTCATATACAATATGTTAACTATGAAATATCATAAGAATTTTAAGATTTTTTGTAAGTATAATTTCTGATGAAATGTTACAAAATCTAAAAAATTTAAAAATACTTTTTAAAAATGTTATAAGAAATTTCAAAATATTTCAGAATTCACTTGTATGAGAAGTTCTGAGAGAAGATGTAAACTTTTTGAATATTTCTGAGTATTTCTGAAAAATGTTCCAATTCGTATAAAAATTATGAGAAAAATTTTCACCGGGGTAATGCATTGAAATGTAGTAAATTATCTTCAGACAAAATGTTTAGAAGTACAACTGATTCAAGATATAAGTAGAAATTTCCGCAATTTTGTTGTTTTCCATCGATCCAATTCATCCAGAGAGAATGATTTTCGAACAAACTCTTTTGATTATCTATTTCGATTAAATTTTTACAATTTTGTTATGTTTCATAATCTTATGTTTATCTTTGCTATGTTTCATAACTGACTTAATTTTGATATCTCTTATTCATTTGTCCACAATTGCAATAAAATTTTTTCATGATACCTAGACACACTAATTAGTGCACATAATCCAAATAAGAAAACCGTAAAACCATTGGCATTGTATTAGTTTGAAAGGAGATACACCAGTACGATCTTGTTTATTTTATTTTATTGTTAAAATTTTTATCAGTTCGAACAGGTACTTAAGATGTTATGAACTAACCAGAGAGCTGTATTAGCGTCGTAAAATATTATTTGAGATAGTCTTGAGATTAAGAATGGACTGTGTATATCGGCTTCAATATCGTTTGTTAAAGTAAAAAAAGAATCCGAGGTCTACTAAATATTTAAACTATTCATATATGAACTATATAAAACTTTTATATTAAGCAAATTTTAACCTCAAGTTTTTAATCTTTTACTTTCTTGTGAAACTTAAATACTCGATGCTTAAATTTATACTTCTGCATATTATAATTTTGTAAAAACATTTTACAATTTGTAAAACTAATTCAAAGATTTTGGTTGCACTGTAATTCATGATAATTATAGCGTCTCCAGTGTCCTTTTAACTGCACAATGTAAAAATAATTAATTAAAATTAAACTACAGTTAAATCTTTTCGATTACAAATGAATTTTTTAATTCAATCAATTGTGTTATGCGCAAATGTAGCTTTCATGGAATAAAATTGCATTAGCGCATAATATATGTGACTAATCGAATTAAAAAACTCGTCTTACATTTGTATGATAAAGTCTTATTATAAAGGGTGCGTTCCGTTTATGTTTACAGCGCTTAATGTAAGCATCATTTGTCCTTGTTTGATATATTTGACAGACAGCAAAAATGAACTGATGTTTACAGTGTATGTATGTTTACAGTGATGATCGTGAAAATGAAACACACTCAAAATGCAAACGATTTATAAGAAAATTGTAGAATTAAAATCATTAATCCGTTAAGTATACGCCGGAATGTTTTGACCTAACTCTAATTCTGATCGTCCAGATAGTACAGAATATTTATGATAAATATTCACAAATATTTATTTTCTATTTATTTTTTAAAAATATATAAATATTTTTTATATATTTTATATAAGCTTTATTTGAAATATTATTAAAATACAAATTAAATATTTTATATAATATTTATATATTATAAATATGTATGTAA